AGCCTCGGAGGCGAAATCTAAGATGAGTGTAGAGAAACACACATGGGAAGAACCTCACAATAAGAAGAAAAACGCTGGGAAACGTGGTTAGGAAATATCAGATTTAATTAATAATGGAGCCTTCAATAGTCTTGGAGAAATCTAATACAAACCAGATTTAAACTACATACCAATGCTTCCATGCATATTTATTTTCAATTGATTATGCTTTTAAAAACTCTTAGAAGGGAATTCTTTAAGAACAACAAATCTGGTTAAAACTTACATTCTTCTAGGTAATAAAAATTAGGTAAAGAATATTAACTTCAGATTTTTATCTTTTTTTTTTTAAAGATTTTTATTGGGGAATTGAGGGATGGGAACAGAGCTGGGGAATTGGGGGAAGGGGAACAGACAAGTTGCTGTCCTTTTGTTCTTCAGTCTAGTTGTGGAGGACGTTGCTTCACTGGCTCATGTTGGTACTATCATTGCACTCTTCCCAGGCGAGGCAGATCCATCGCCAGCTTCTGGACGGCCGCTCAAGGTGGCTGCTGGCTGCTCACACTGGCTGCTGGCTACACATGGTAGCCCATGGCAACCCACTGCAGCAGGGGCTGCAACCTACGCCATCGCCAGTGACTCATGACAGCCCAGCTCCAGGTTGAGCTGTTTGTTGTTCAGCATCTTAGCTGTGGAGGGCAGTGTCACTGGCCCTCATATGTGGGATCCGAACCGGGGCCCTCTGGCATCCCAAGCCAGCTCTTAACCAATGCATCACTCAGCCGACCCCAGATTTTTATCTTTTAATAAAAAATAGATATTTTAGTTTTTTTCTTTTTGGTTCATTTGAAGGAAAAAAAGTTTTTTTGAGAAAAAATGGGAACTTCCAATAGGAAGGGTAGAGCTGAGATAAAGTAAAGGGAGAATAAGAAAATATATAATATTTTTAAAATGCAATTTTAAATCATGCAGAACTTGTCTTGGAATACATCCCAGGTAAGTATCAGTATAGTCAGGAATAATGATGAATTCTGGATTAGAACTGTGTAAAGCTTTGGAAAAGCAGTAAGCTCAAGTTTTGGAAATGTAAAATGGATGACATTTTGGACTGATCTACTATCCAAAAGAAGGGAAATGAAGATTAACTCTACATGTCAATATATTTTCATAAATATTCACTTAAAAGGGCACAGCCACAGACATACTTGGACACAGATAGAGATACAGACACACACATGGACATGGACAGATAGATACGTGTTTTAGGATATAAAAAAGTTTCTTGGTCAAAATTATAACAGTGCAATGGTTTCTAGAAGAAAAAATCATTTCCTATTCTGGCTCAGAATGTAAAAAAAATGATTTTCCCATAATGTTGTATAATGGATCTTCCGGTCACAGTCTCCTATGGAAGCATAATTTATATAGTGGACAACAAAAAGCGTTTTATATCTAGATTCCATTTAAAATCTTTAGATGGGAAAAAGTGAGATCTAATTAAAATCTTAATAAATGACTGTGTTGAATATAAATAAATTAATATGTGTTCAGGATAAAATTGGAAAAGTTATGGGAGTCTGCATTTTAATTATGTTTCTATTAGGAAACTGTATGTTATAACTCTGAGAATTACTTGGCAATGGGGCTGTTTACAATGAAGCAAAACTGAATTTAAATAGGAAAGTTTAGCCCATGACTTGTCATAACTCATGAGGTCTTGGGCTTCAGGCATGTTGAGATCTCATTGGCGAAAAGCCTGTGCAGAGAGGGAAGATGGGCCAATTGGAGCCCAGAAGATCCTTAGGGAGGCTGATGAAGGGATAGTGTCAGCCTACAAGGATCTCTCCATGAAGGGAAGGAAGAACTGATAGGCCCTGTGTCCAGATTGATAGATACAGAGTAAGTATACCTATCCTGTACACTCAGAGTCTGTCTATTCTCTACATACATACGTGCATACTTACCCTAGGTTTTTATCTAGTATGTATACTAGGGAGGATACATACCTATCCTAGGTTTTCTGACTACCAAACTTAAGATGACAGGCTAAATCTGAATGGTGCCAAATGGTAGCGATTAAGCTCCTAACATACTGTCCAGTTCACTGTAGCAGTTAAGGTGGCAGACCCAGAAATCAAACTACCCAGGTTCAAAACCCTATTCCCCCACTTACCAACTGGGGATGCCAACATTCATGTACATGTTATGAGGATCAAATGGGATATTGTATTTAATTGCAAGGTACCTCCATTTTGTTATTATTATTTTTGGAAACACACTTTTAGCTTTAAGTCACATAACTTGAGACTTGGAAAATTATGCTACATCTATGGGCTAGACTAAACTTCTGTAGTTCGTCCAGTTGTAAAGGAAAAAAATTCTGGCCATACCCTTTCTCCCCACCCCCACCTCCATGATTCCACAAATCTGGCTGTACCTTCATTCTTTAATAGGTTCAGAACCTGTATTTTTTTCTTTTCCGTCCAACTGCTTTTTCCCATCCAACTGCTACCCACCTGATACAGTGATCATTAATGGTTTTGTAAAATTTCTGGTCCAGGCTTATTTTAGAATCTTGAGTTTGTGTTTAGGTTGTTATAAATGTGCTTCTATTTCTATTTAGGCATAACTTGTGTATTTAGGCATAACTTGTAGATACTAATAAAACAATAACATTTTGGTAAGTGTGATCATAGGTGGTTGGGAGTTTAATTGAGGAAGCCACACCCAAGACTGATGGAGTTAGTAAAGCCTTCACTATGGTAGACCCAAGTCACAAGATGCTAAATGTTTGCCTTATTAATGTTCATCTTTCTGAGACATCCAAGGTGAATGGCAATCACCCTGTTCATCTTCTCCCAGAAGCTAGCTTTAGTCAAAGGTTTTGTTCTTTAGATAAAGAGCTACCATTTTGAGAGTGTTCCTAGTGCCAGGAATTGAGGTAAGTGGGTTTATAAGCATTATCTCATTTAATCCTCACAAGGATAGGCACTATTATTTAAGCTAAGGGTTAAAGAGAGGTTAAGAAACTTGATCAAGATCACCCAACAAGGAAGTACTCAGCCAGGTTGTTCACTGGAGTCTGCTGTGTTGTCTCGCACACCTAAGGACTTTCTGGAGGGAGAATGTTGTGCTTTACCCACCCTTGCCTTCCCACCTGCCACCCCATCAAGCCCAGTCTCTCTTTCCTTACAGCTTTGCTTCCACTTGGTTAAAGACGCTTTTGTGTTATATTATCATGTATCTCCTCTGTTTCTCACCTGATTGAGCCTGAGACGATATTAGAGACCATGAAAATCATTCTCTCATCCCTGACAGGACCTGCAGTACCTCAGTAAAGGCTTTTTTCTCCTGGTAGTGATAGCTTAAAAAAGATTTATTCTTCTAGTAGTAGCTCAATAAAGGTTTGTTGAATTAATAAATGAATGAGATATTAAGCTTTCCTGTCCCACAAAAGACCATGAGCTAAAGCAGCGGTTTAAAACATACAGTCCTGATCAAGGAGTTCTTAATGAAAACTAACAGATCTCCAAAGCAGATGGATGGGCTTGGGGAAGGAGTGGAGAGCAGGGTGTATTTCTTCAGGGTGACTGAAAAGAGGAGCTTCCTTTGGGAGCAGGCAGTTTGTCCTCAGCTTTTGCAACCCTTTTCCTGCAATTCCTCCTGCTCTCAAGATTTTAAATGTTCTCATCAAGAAAACACCAAATTCTTGAAAGCCTGGTTTCTGCCTTGTGGGTTGTAAGCCAATTTCATGACGTCATAACCACTCGCAGCCCACAGTGCTTTTCTTGACTCTGTGTAGGTAGACTAGACAGGGTTTTTAGCAAGTGAAACCTCTTTTGGGTAAACATTTTGGCCCTGGTTTTAAGATTCCTCTGACAGACTAAGTGGTAGAAATCTGTGTATATACACAGAACGTTCTCTCCCTTGTGCTGCGATGTATGTGACATTACTTTCTTTGTAGAAATAACTCTGCTTCTCTTAGTTGGTTCTTACTTGGGAACTGGGCCTTCCTTGTTAATTTTCACTCAGATGGGGCCTGCTGAGGGGCAGAGAGGACCCCAAACATATATATACCACCTGCCTGTTAGGGAGAGCTGTGTATCACCCTTTGTTTTAGCGTCAGAGAGTTCAGGTTAGATGGGGAAAAATGGCCACTCTGGGTTTCCAAACATAACAGGAAGGTTTAGTTCTAACCTTGTTACTGAAGTTGCAGCAAAGTTCATTCAAATTCTAAACTTGTTGCAGGGAACAGCAAAGTCCTGTCTATGCATGTGCATGCACACACAAACACACACACACACACACACTCACACTTTATATACACATATAATTAATATGTATATATGAGAATACTATATTCTCATATATACATATATTCTATTTACTATATATGTATACAAACATTTTTATATACAAGCTTAAAGCATGAAAGAGCAACGCATTTTACACATATATATTTATACACACATATACATATATGTGTATGTGTATGTGTACATACACAAAATACACATAATGTAAGGTTCCTGGCATCTTTCATTAATAGGTATTTGTGTTCCCTTATTAATGGCAAGTTATTAATTTTAGATAAGCCCATTACAGTTTTTAAGCAGAGTGAAGGTTTTCTCCTTAAACAGCCCAGGGAGAATTTCGTTTGCACCTTTTGATGAATCCTTTGATGATGCCTGTAGAGGGGTGATTTCAAACCCATTTAACCTTTTAAAAAGTGTGAAAAGTGTCTGCAAGTTCTCTTGATGTTAGAGGAGACAGAATCGAGGAGAAGAAAAGATTGTTCTCTCTCCCCAGTGAGACGCAGATCCCAGGCTGCTGCTGAGCAGGCTTTGTATAGGTTGAACGACGGAACACTTACAGGAAAAAAAAAAAAGACTAAAGAAAAAGTAGCAAGTAACCCGGGCGCCGCTGGCGCCTGGGATGGCACGTGATCCGGGGGCGGGGCCTCGCGGGCCGCCAGCCAGTGGACTGGACCGGGGGCGGGGCCGAGGCCCGGGGGCGGGGCCCGTGCCCGCGCAGCTCTCACCGCGGTCCCCTTATTTGGATCTGCGGGAATGTGGGCTGGAGAGGTCCTGCAGCGGTACCAGCCTCCAGCCTGTCGCCGGGACTGTCCCTGACCCAGGCACACCCGCTGCTCGGTGGCAGGAGGGCCGGCGGAGCGTCATGGCCTGCATCCTGAAGGTAACGACTAGGATCTGTGGCTCGGACGCATGGTTGGCTAGCCTCTTGCTGCTAAGAGGCACGGAGTCAGCCGTGGTCCCACCGCATCCTCATCTCAGTTGTCTTTTCTTGGCACTGATTTTCTTTTTGTTCCTTTGGCAAATGCATATGGAGGGAGATTCCGAAACATGCATCTGGCACAGCCTCTCTTCCCACCATTCCTGTCTGCTCGCGCTTGCATTGAAGGAGCTGCAGACTGTTGGCTCCAGGGGAGAGCAGGGCTGTGTGCCGAATAATGGGGATGGCAAGGAGGGGAGGGGTGCCCCGCGGGTCCTGCGTCTCTGTTGCCTGAGGCCTTTCAGGGGCCACAGAGACAGGAGGAGTGGCTGGGTATGGGTTATAGGTGGTGAGGGTTTTGAATGGGGGTGAGAGTAATCAAAGGGGGATTCTACTGAACATTTGATAATGTGAAGACAGAAACTTCTGAGTTTACAGGTAGTCCCTTAGGAATGAGTTTTCTAAGAGATCAGCTAGCTCTGTGTGCCATTAGCTCTACTTTGGAAAAGTTCATAGGTGGGTGAATTAGTAGGGAACCTCGGACCCTGCTTTTGCTCCTAAATTTGAACAAAATGATTTTACTTTCTATCAGAGTCCTCCCAGCCACCCCTTTGTTGAGTTTTCTTTCTCCAAGTCTGGGTTCTTGGCTGGGACTGAGTATCTTTCTGGGTTCAGCCTTGTAGCATCAGGTGGGAGGACTTGGTGTAACTGCCTCACTTGAGAACTTTGCATCCCACAGGGAGAGTGGTTTTTTGTGTTTTGTTTTGTTTTTTTCACTTTTCTGCACTGCTGTTTCTACCCCTGCCTAACCTGACTCCTAAACACATGAATCAAAAACAGTCACAGCATGAAGGTTTCCTGGGCCTTACTAGAGAATGCAAAGGCCTGTTTGTTCCAAGCTTAGGGGAGCTGTGTGTGATAAAGGAAAACACCAGAAAACAATTCTTTGTTGTTGCATGATTGTGAAATAGTATTTGTTTGTCTGTAGGATGATCTGAAGCCATCTACTGCTGTACTAGTTACCTGAATCCTCTTCCAACATGCCTTGGTGTTCATGACTCAAATATGAGACTAATGTAGTAGAGTTTGTTCCCATTTCTTAGTGTCAAGGAGCTCAGGTATTTCCTGTGATTTTCTGAGCTTCCTGTTTGGCTTCAGAACATTTTCTGGGACATAGTAAATAGTAGGAAGATCAAGAGGAAATAATACATCAGTATTACAATATGGGGTTTTACCTTGGAGACTTAACACGAGCACTGAAATATGAATATGAATCATCTCTATTATTTCTTGTATCACTAGCCAAAAGGGAAGTTGAGGAGCATAATATTTATTGTTGGCCGTCTCCTTTCCTTTTGGGTTCTCCCCTGCTTTATCTTGTAGATGTTTCTAACATTTTTAATACACGTCCCATGCGATACATGAATCTGATCCCACCTTTCCTTTCTAGCACCTCACACTGACCTCAGACATTTAGGGCATATCTGAATCCTCCTTATTTTTCCTTTACTGGGATGCACAGAGGTAACCTGCGAAGAGCAAAGGTTTTGGACTCAGAAAGACCTTGGTCTGAATGCAGGTGCTGCCAATTGCCACCTGTGTGACCTTGGACAACTTGCTTAAACATCTCTGAATCTCAGTTTCCTCAATATAAGATCAAAGTAATAGCACCTACTCCACAGGGTTGCTGTGGGGATGAAATAAGATAGGGTATGAAAAATACCTTGTGGCACAGGCATTTTATATGTGCCATTTTTTGGACATATAATAATAACTGCTGTTTAATCTGTACTATATCCTTGACCCATTTCATATAATATAATTTACTTATTCTTACATCAGATCCTGCAAGGTGAGTATCATTATTTGAAATCTCATTTTACAGACGAGGAAGTTGAGGCTCCAGAATTTAAGAGATTTGCCCAAGGCAACATGGCTAAGGACAAAGTGAGCCTGGATTTCGACCCAGATCTGCCAATGTTCCTTATACTTTAATGGTGTTCCCTGTACTTTCCCAGGTGATAACTTTCTAAGATGTCCTAATACTGTTTAGAGTCCTTACCACCTTTGAGAAACAAAGAGCCTGTATGCAATGATGGTCTCTAGATGGTCAATAGTGGGCCTTTTCCCCTCGTTATCTTTGAAAGGCAATGCATGATGGAATGGAGAGTCTGGAGAACTGGATTCAATGTAAGCTTTGTCTCCTGGTTATGATTTTAGACAGTCACTGCAACTTGGAAACTCAATTTGTTCAAGTTGTAGAATGCAGATAATTATCATAATTGCCTTACAGGTGTTATGAGGATAAAATGATGGTCTTTTCTTTTAATGAAACGTTTTCCACCATGTGCTGGTCCTGGACTTGGTGTTAGCTTCCCAAGATGTATAAGCCATTGATTGACTCCATTCTCAAGTGGCTTATGGTATAGTAAGGGAAAAGTAAATGCATGTTTGTTACAATGTGAAGAATAACATAGGGTCTGTGGCGGGCATGATAGACGCATAGCGGAAGAGAGCAATGAACACCCTCATTGGGTAATCAAGACAGGCTTCCCACTTAGGTTATTGGATCTGGATTTTGAGGACCAAATAGTATTTACTGTGATGGAGCTTGTGTTTTATAACGATAGCTTTTGAGGCAGTGTCAGCTGTATTCTGTGGGCAAAAACAAATCTTTGCAACAGATTTTTGAAGTAACTTTTACTATCCATTTTTACATATGAAAAAACTGACAAAGAGGTTGATTAAAGTCTCATTATTGCCTAACAGTAATGACCTTGATAGTGGGAATCTCTGACTAGCTTAGAAGAGAAGCCCATGCCATTGTAGCTAACGGTGGTCTTTTGGGGCCTACACAATTGTCCCTTCAAGGTATTGTGCATGGTGGGGACCCATTCTGCCTATGCACAGAGCTGGCTGTCATAACAGAATGATGGTTACCTCAATAACATTTAATTGTGGAATTCATACTTGGTCCACATTGCTTGGGCTTGGAAGTCAGAACTATGTGGATTTTAATTATGGCTCCACCACTTACTAATTGTAAAACCACAAGCAAGTTTCTTGATTTCACGGCCCGGGTTTCTGAAATGAGGATGATCATGCATTCCTCAGTGGGTTATTCTAGTGGTTAGATGAGAATATCTGCATATTAGTAAGAATAGGCTAGTTATACTGCAGAAAAAAACAAAGTCTTAGTGGGTTCATTTCTTGCCATGCTCCTGATTAGGCAGCTCTCCTGGGTAACTGTGCTTGTGAACAATTAAGTCAAGGACCAGCCTCTTTCCATGGGATGTTTTAAATGGTTTTGAAATTTGATAGACAGGAAAATATTTAATTTGTATTTATTTGATTACTAGTGAAGTAAAACCTTAAATTTATATTAGCCATTTGTTTTCTTTCTTTTGTAAATCACAGATCCTTTAAAATTTTATATAATAAAACCCATTCGTATTTTCTTATGTGATTTTTAATTTTGATCAGCAGGTACTTTTTGAGCACAGTATCTTTTTTTTTTTTTTTTAGATTTTTATTGGAGAATTGGGGGGATGGGAACAGTGCTGGGGAATTGGGGGAAGGGGAACAGACAAGTTGCTGTCGTTTCGTTCTTCAGTCTAGTTGTGGAGGATGTTGTTTCACTGGCCCAAGTTGGCACCATCATTGTACTCTTCCCAGGCGAGGCAGATCAGTCGCCGGCTTCTGGACGGCCGCTCACGGTGGCTTCTGGCCGCTCACGCTGGCTGCTGGCTACACAAGGTAGCCCATGGCAACCCACTGCCACAGGGGCTGCAGCTTATGTGGTTGCCGGCAACTCACAGCAGCCCAGCTCCAGGTTGAGCTGTTGTTCAGCATCTTAGCTGTAGAGGGCAGTGTCACTGGCCCTCATATGTGGGATCTGAACCGGGGCCTCTGGCGTCCCAAGCCAGTTCTTAACGATCGCGCCACTCGGCCGGCCCAAGCACAGTATCTTGTAAATATTTAATATTTAACAAATATCTGGGGAGTTGTATTCAGATTCCTTTGTATCTAGCACTGAAGTGGACATTGAATGGACATGTGGACACAATATACTTGTGAGTCATTTCTGGAGAAGACTATGTATGGTTTTGCCAGGCTGATGAGACTTATGAACATGAAGCAGTTAAACAATAACACAGTAGGTGCATGACTAAGCTACTGTTATCTTCTCATTAGATACCTGTCCTTGTATAACATTTATCCTAATTGATGGAAAATTGGATGAACGTTGATATTAAGTTATGAATTTGGTGTGTTCTCATTTATTCTTCCCCCTGACCCAGACTCAATCCTTCATCATATTCCATCAATTCTATCTCAGGAAAATCTCTCAGATCTGCCGATTGCTTTCTATCCTAACTCGCTCTGCTTTGTCCAGAACCTAGTATTTGGCCTTTTGACATAGCCTCCTTTCCTTCAGGCTCCTTGCAGTCTTGCCCATCTTCCACATCCCTGTCAGAGTATTGTGCAGTACTGATCAAATGTCGTGCTGATGGAGCCATCTGCAGGCTTACATCCTCACCTTGGCTCCCCAGCCCCTGTGGGTAAACCCCACTATTTAGCTTGGCATTCATGTTCCTTCAGAATCCAGCCCTGTCCACCTGTCTGGCCTCATCACCTACTTTACTACTCCCTTACCTGTGGTCCAGGCTCTTATCTAAACTTACCCAAGTCTGTACATGTAGCACCTCCTTTCATGGTTCTGTGCCTTTGTAGCATAGCATAGGGATTGAGAGCCTGCGCTCTGATGTCAGACTAGTATGTTCCAGCAGTGAGATTGCTAAGCCTCAGTTTCCTCATCTGTGAAATGGGAGCAAAAAATACTGCCTATTTCTATTTATTATTTATTATTTATTTATTTATTTATTTATTTAGTTTCAGGTGTACAAAACAATGTAATAGGTAGACATTTACCCTCCTCACAAAGTGATAACCCCCCTCTCCCA